AGCACTGGAAAAAGTGCAGAAAAGGGCAAATAGAATGATAAAAGGGTTGGAACACTTTCCCTATGAAGAAAGGTTAAAACGCTTGGGGCTCTTTAGCTTGGAGAAACGACGGCTGAGGGGTGACATGATCGAGGTTTATAAGATTATGCATGGGATAGAGCAGGTAGAGAAAGAAGTACTTTTCTCCCTTTCTCACAATACAAGAACTCGTGGGCACTCCATGAAATTGCTGAGCGGTTGGGTTAGAACAGATAAAAGGAAGTACTTCTTCACCCAAAGAGTAATTAACACATGGAATTCACTGCCCAGGAGGTGGTGGTGGCTACAAGCATGGATGGCTTCAAGAGGGGATTAGATAAATACAAGAAGTGGGACCCACAATATTCACCGGGGGGGGGGTATTCCCCACAGCTTTCGGCCTGCAGAAGCAGGAGGAGCTCTGCAGGAGGAGGAAGTGGCAGCAGGCGGGCCCACCAGGCCCACCAAGCCTTCTTCCTCCTCCCCCGGCACCAATGGCGAGGCCCGACCGGCTCACAGCCACTGGCCTGCCAAGTCTTCTCCCCCCCCCCAGCTGCGACAGTGAGGCCTGAGTGGCCCACAGCTGCTGGCCGCCAAGCCTTCTCCCGCACCCCCCTTCCCAGTGGTGGCAAAACTTGAGTGGCCCACAGCCACTGGCCGCCAAGCCTCCCACACCCCCTCCCTGGCACCAGTGGCTAGGCCTGCACCCCCCTCCCCAGTGGTGGTGGCGGCAGCAAGGCCTGTGTGGCCTGAGCGGCCCACAGCTGCTGGACCGCCAATCCTACTCCCATCCCCCCTCCCCAGCGGTGGCATGTGCAGGGAACACTCTTTTACTTTTGGGGAGATTTAAGTATCCTCCGTATAGTTTTTTAAACTTTTCAGATTTTTCTGTACACCTGGGGACTGCCCCAAGTGTGCAGGAAAATCTTTTTGCCCCCCCCCCAAGTGCCCCCGATGTGCGCATTTAGCTATCCGCGCAGAGGGGGCCTCTTGGCTATTAGTATATAGATATGGAGCAGAAGTCCATCAGTGGCTATTAGCCACAAGGTATAGATAGGAACTCTTGGTCTGGGACGAGGGAGGCACTGTATTCTTGGTGCTTGGGGGGGGGGCAACAGTGGGAGGGCTTCTAGTATCCTGGCCCCACTGCTGGACCTCCTGATGGCACCTGGTATTTTTGCCCATTGTGTGACAGTGTGTTGGACTGGATGGGTCATTGACCTGATCCAACATTGGCTTCTGTTACTTTCTTAAGATCTTTGTGCTCAGCAGCTTCTGATTCAGGAAAAGCTGTGTTTGTTGTTCCTTTAATTGCAAAATCACTTATATTCTTCTGACCTGTCTTCTGGCTCTGTCCTGCTATTGGTGTTGTTAAAAGATCTCTTGTGCAAAAATGTATAGTGTAGCCTGAAAGTTCTAATGACTTCAGCTCCTTTTAAAGTTCCCACAGCACAGAGTAACGGCAAATGCCGGTCTCCAATCTGAAGGTTTCTTGTAGGTTTCATAGAGTAGCTTCCTTTTTCTTGTTTCAGATAGAAGAACGTGCTATTCAGGATCTGCTAATCCACTATCAAGCATTTGGCAACCCTGATGAGTTTGTTGTTGTTGAAAGATCTCCACAGGGGCCAATAGCATCTCCTATGTGGAACAAGCATTGAGGAAGAAGGCGCCTTATAAATTTGGAAAAGATGTGTGGGCTTCACGAATCTGGGATTAATTACATGGATGCTCTAGAATAAGACAGTGACATGTGTCCATCTCTTTTCAAGCTGTTTATTACCTGTTTTGTGTTTTCTTTACCAAACTGCATTACTCGGCTGTGCTGCTTCATAGGACGCCATTGGAGTTGAAAACTACTATGCTGGGTTTATAAGATGCTTCTCTTCCCATCCCACTCCCACCCCACTAGCAAAAAGTGTAAAACTAGTGTTGCTTTCCCTCTTAACAAGGACTGAACTGTCATAATCATGTATATGTTTTTAATTATTAGGATTGAGTGAGCATCGCAAACTTCCGTTTTCCTAAAAATGTACCTGGTGTTTGTGTAATAACAAAAAGCCCTGACAACTGAAGCAATGGTACTGAAGTTCTAGCATGCCTGCATATATGTGGATGCTCTTTATTCTCTTTGGGAAAGTCCTCCTAACCATCATGCCTTATACAATGGGTGAAACTTCGTGCTGCAGTGAAGATTTTATTCAGCCCTTGGTTTGCATTATTACAAGGGAAGTCCAAACTTCTGTGTAAGCTCTTACAATACAGCAGCAGTTTTTTGATTCAGAAATGGCAAAATGGGAATGGGGGTAAGCAGCAGCATGCTGAACAACGAAATGTTCAGAAAAAGAGCATTAAAACAACACAAATGAGAGCAGTTTGATATTTCGACATTTGTAACAAAAGTACTGTGTGTTGTCTGATTGTGGGTGGCTTTTTGTTGCTGGAAGGCTTTTTAAAAGATTGGTAGTATTAGTAAATAACATGCTGTTGATATATTTTGAGGTTTCTTTGTTTGGTAGCTTGTGACTGGATTTACTTACTACAATAATCTGAGCATTTACTGGCTTTGGATAAACTGGAGCTACTGTGATTTACCTGAGTGAGCATTCATAGTGTTACAAGAGAATGACTGATGTCTGTTATCTCATGTAGTTGCTGCTCACTGTTTTGGATTAAACACCAAAAATAACCGTAAAAAGAATCTGCAATAAAGAGCAAAACGGATCAGCACAAGTTACTACAGGACACAAAACTGATTAGTGTATTTATTTGCGCCAACAGCAGTTCATTTTGAATCAGGCTCCTGGACAAGTTACTCTCAACAACACTCCCTTTTGCAGTGATTTGTTTATTGAGAAATAGACATGATACAGACCAGAACAGTACTGTGTCAGAACTGAGGATTTGGTGGGTGCAGGTACAGATATATGTAATTTAATTGAAAACCCTGTGAATGACCAATCACACTTCGCATCCATCCCACCTAGTCATTGCGTTGTCTAACACACACACCCCGGAAAATATATTATCCCACTATCTGTTCTAGCAAGCTAGCACCAAAGGCTTCAAGGACATTTCTCTGGGTTATGGCTTCTATGATAGCATGTTCATACATAGCATTCACTCCTCCCCTGTAGGAATTTCCCGTTCCCCCGCCACCATAGCAAACTAAACAGAGCAGAGTTTGACATACTGCCCCCCCAAAGTCCCCCCCCCATCCTCCTGGCTTGAGGGGATGCTGCTTATGGAAAGTGTGTACAAGTTTTGCAGCATTGACATGTTGGCTTCCACCCATTCATTATTGCTCAGGTCAAAGTCTTTCCATTTGATGAGATAGTACAGCTGGCCCCTTTTTATTTTAGAATCAAGAATGTCCTCCACTTCTTGTGGGCCTCTCCATCCACGATCAGGGGAGGGGGAGCTGGGGTCCAGGATCCTTTAGTAGACTAAAATGAAACACAGGGTGGACATGACACAAAATTTTAGGTAATGCAACCTCAACAGCCACCTTATTAATAAGGCACACTACCCTGAAGGGCCCCACATATTGCCATCCAAGTTTGTTCCCGGGTTGCAACTCCTTGAGGTTCTTGGTGGAAATGTACACTGAGTCCCCAGGTTTCACCTCCCATTCGGGGGGCCCTCCCTTTGTCTGCATAGCGTTTATAATCCTCTTTCGCCTTGTCTATGGTTTTCTGGAGAGCGGGCCACTCCTGGGTCACCCTGGCCCACCATGTCTAGGCACCTCCGGGACCCGGGTTCTCTGGATCCAGTGTGGGTAGGGGTTCCCCATTGTACCCATGCACCGCTATGAAGGGGGAGACTCCTATAGAGCTGTGTACTGAATTGTTATAACTGTACTCTGCAAAAGGGAGCAAGTCTACCCAGTCATCTTGCTGATGACTCCTCCACTTGATTTGTCCTTTCTATTTGCCCGTCAGTCTCTGGGTGGTAAGCACTACTCAGTCCTTGTTCCACCCCCAGCAGTTTCAACAGTTCTTTCTAAAACCCCGCCACGAACTGGGAACCCCGATCCAAGATTATCCTGCAGGGCAAAGCATGGAGTCTGATAATGTGTTGCATAAACGACTGGGCTAGTTTCCTAGCGGTCAGCACCTGCTTACATGGGATGAAGTGTGCCTGTTTCAAAAATAAATCCACTACTACCCAGATAACTTCCTTGTGTTGGCTAGCATGCTGAGGGAGGTGGGACAGAGCATTGGCCAGGAAATTCAACTTCCCGGTGAGGTGTCTGAGAGTGAAACAACTTAAGAAGAAAACTCCACCCACCTCAACTGTTTTGCGTTCAGGCGTCGCAGCACTTGGTGGGCTTCTAGGCTCTTATGATCAGTCCAAACTTCGAAAGGAACCTGCACCCCCTCTAATCAGTGTCTCCAAGTGTTTAGGGCTAGCTTAATGGCGGCAGCTTCTTTGTCCCACACCACCCAGTTCCTTTCAGTACTCGATAACTTGTTGGACATGTAAGCCAATGGGTGCAAGTTCCCATCCTCCCCTCTCTGTAGGATCGCCCCCTCCATGTCCAAAGCATCTACTTGCACCACAAATTGTTTAGTCTCTCCGGGTGGTGCAAAATAGGTGGTTGCTCGCCTTTTTACATTCCAGTCCCTTCCCCTTCATCTTCAGAAGGTCAGTGAGAGGCAGGGTGACCTGGGCGAAATTGGGGATGAATGGGCAGTAGAAATTGGCGAACCCCAGAAATGACTGTAGTTGGCACCGGATTTGTGAGTGGTCCCACCCCACCACATCCTAAATTTGGCATCACCAGGTATTCAAACTGACCCAATGGGGTGTTAAAGGCCATCTTATGCTTGTCCCCCTCCCTGATGCATACTTGGAAGTAGGCATCCCTGAAGTCCAGTTTGATAAATATCTGGCCCTGCGAGGCCTCAGCTAGCAAGTCCTTGATGAGGGGGAGGGGGTAAGCATTTGACATGGACACTGCATTCAACCCTCAATAGCCTGTGCACAGTCTCAATCCCCCATCCTTCTTCTTCCAGAATAACACTGGGGCAGCAAAGGGGGAAGTGGCAGGTCTTATGAAACCCTGGGCCAAGTTCTTGTCTATAAACCACCTCAATTCTTCTTTCTTGGCTGGACTCATAGAATAAAGCTTCCCTTTGGGCATTTTGTGCCCCAGTTGAAGAGAAGATATTGGATTTATACCTCACCCTTCACTACCCAAAGGAGTCTCAGAACAGCTTACAAACTCCCTTCCCCTCCCCACAACAGACACCCTGTGAGGCAGGTGGGGCTGAGAGAGCTCTGACAGAAACTGCTCTTTTTCAAGAACAGCTGTGCCAGAACTATGGCTTGGCCAAGGTCATCCAGCAGGTGCAAGTGGAAGAGTGGGGAATCAAACCCAGTTCTCCCAGATTAGAGTCCATGCACTTAACCACTACACCAAACTGGCTCTCAATTGCACAGTCAGTTTTATGGTGGGGAGGTAACTCCTCTGCCTCCCCTCCTCAAAGACCTGAGCCAGGTCTCAATATTTCTCCAGGATGAGATTCAGCTCCTCCCACACCAGGCAGATGCACTCAGCTATGGAGTGGGGCTCCTCCCCCCATTCTGGGTTCCCAAGATGCTTTTTACAACAAGGGTCTAAGAAAGTTAGTCCCAATACTCCATTGAACGTACGGGTCGTGGGCTTGGAGCTAAGGGCTGCCTAGTACCATTGGGAATTTTGCAGATGGGTTCACTATGAGTGAGCATAGTTCCCAGTGGGAGGCCACCCCCACTGGCAAGTGAACTGTACAATACCGGCAGGGCTCCCCCCTCATTGGGGCCCCATCCATCTGGGAAAATACTATTGGCTCTCTTAACTTCTGCACTTTCACCCTCAAACCTGTGACTATGGCAGGGCTGATTAAGTCCCGAGTATTGGGTATTGTAAATAAGAAGGGGGAGACTAACCAGTTATGAAGGTGCACAAGAGAGTTTATATAGTTATAAAGGTGAATATATACAGATATATTTACAGGCTATTGAACAGCATGTCGTGCCTTAGTCTATGAGAACTAAGTCCCCCCCAGCTTACTAAGATGATAGCTATTATGTTAAACCCCAGCCAATCTCTAACAAGGTGATGTAATCACTAACTCTAACAAGACCTGAAAGAGTAATACCTGCTAGAAAACACCTGGCTGTAATTTCATGATTACTAGCATGACAGCTAGGTCTGACAAACAGATCAAACTGATCTATAGTAACTGCTTGCTACCTCTATCACTCTGGCATATATCTCAATATGCCTCCTAGGGAGCAAGAGTTACACCCAATCCTACTCTGAAGTAGCTAAACTGATCAGAGCACATACATTTGGTTAATACCAAAGTGAAAGTTAAAATTCCAGCATAACAAGAAACACTACATCAGCTGCCTCTCCCCCCACCACCTGCAATGGCAGCAAAGCTGGCATCCTGCCCCCTCAAAACACCCCCCACCAGTTTTGCCAGGATACATTTTATGGAAAGCATGAATCAGCTTAGGAGCATTGACATGATATTCATCAACCCATTCATTGTAGGAGGGGTCGAAATCCCTCTGTTGAACTAGGTAGCTGGCCCCTTTTGACCTTCGAGTCCAGGATTTGGGTGACTTCGTGGTGGGGCTCACCATTCACCATCAGTGGAGGAGGGGCTGGAGGTCGAGGTCTCCAAGCATTGGGCCCAGGGTCCCGTTTGAGTAGACTGAAATGAAAAACAGGATGCACACCCTTCAGAGATTTAGGCAAGTGAACAGTCACCTTATTGATTCTATGTAAGACTTTAAAAGGACCTACATATTGCCAACCCAGTTTCCTACTAGGCTGGAGACTTTCAAGTTCTTTGTGGACAGGTCAACTGAATCCCCAGGTTGTATGTCCCATTCTGGGGCTCTGCCTTGTCAGCCTGAGCCTTATAATCCGCTTTGGCTTGATTCAGAGTCTTTTGGATCTCAGGCCAGTGTTCTTTCAGTCCTTGCCACCAAGTCTGGAGATCCCCCGGGGAGGGGGGATCAGGTAGCCCTACTGTGGGCAAAGGGCCCCCCTCATAGCCATACAATGCTTTAAAAGGTGACAACCCGGTGGAACTGTGAACAGAATTATTATAATTGTATTCTACATAGGGTAGCAGTTCAGCCCAATTATCCTGTTGGTAGTTGGTAAAACAGCAGAGGAATTGCTCTGCCACCTGATTGACTCTTTCAGTCTGTCCATAAGTCTCAAGATGGGAGGCGCTACTGAGACCCTGTCTCAGTACCTGCATAAGCTCCTTACAGAATGTAGCAACGAACTGGGCCCCCCTGTCGGATATTACCTTGGTTGGCACTGAATGTAATTTAACAATGTGATGCATAAACATCTTAGCAAGGGTCTTTGCAGTGGGCAGTTGCTTGAAAGGGATGAAATGTGCTTACTTCGAAAATAAGTCCACCACCACCCAGATCACTGTCTTGTCCTTACTAGGGGGCAAGTCTGTAATAAAGTCCATGGATATCACCTCCCAGGGGTGATTGGGAGATTCCAAAGGTCGTAGCCTCCCTGGCGGCTTGCCCAGGCACCTCTTACACATCAAACACGTTTGGCATGACCCCACATATTGTGAAATGTGCGAACTCATATGTGGCCACCAAAACTGGCATTGTAGCAAATTGAGAGTTTTTAAATAGCCGTAAAGTCTGGCCAGTTTGGATTAATGACCAAAATGCAAGATCTCCTTGTGGAGAGATTTCGGTACAAAC